CAAAACAAAAAGCTCCTGTACAGTGAAGAAAACAATCAACAAAACTAAAAAGGCGACCTACAGAATGGGAGAAGATATTTGCAAATGACATATCCAGTGAACGGTTAGTATCCAAAATATATAAAGAACTCATACAACTCAACACCCCAAACCCAAACAATCTAATTTAAAAATAGGCATAAGACATGAACAGACATTTCTCCAAAGAAAACAAATAGATGGCCAACAGACACATGAAAAAATGCTCATCATCACTAATCATCAGGGAAATGCAAATCAAAACTACTATATCACCTCACACCTGTAAGAATGGCTAGAATAAAAAACATGGGAAACAATAAGTGTTGGTGAGAATATGGAGAAAAAGGAATCCTCTTGCACTGTTGGCGGGAATGCAAACTGGTGCAGCCACTGTTGGTGGGAAAACAGTATGGACTATCTTAAAAAATTAAAAATAGAGCTACCCTAGGATCCAGCAATCACACTATTGGGTATTTCTCCAAAGAATACAAAAACACTAATTCAAAGGGATACATGCACCCCTATGTTTATGGCAGCATTATTTACAATAGCCAAGAGATCAAAGCAGTTCAAGTATCCATCAACTGATGAATGGATAAAAATGATGTTGTGTATATATACAATGGAACATTATTCAACCATAAAAATGAATGAAATCTTGCCATTTGCAATGACTTGGATGGAGCTAGAGAGTATAATGCTAAGTGAAGTAAATCAATCAGACAAATACTATAAGATTACACTCCTATGTGGAATTAAAAAAAAAAAGAAACAAGCGAAGTAAAAAAGAGAGAAACTAACAGACTCAACTATAGAGAACAAACCGAAGGGTATCAGAGGAGTGGTGGGTGGGAGGATGGGTGAAACAGGTGGTGGGGATTAAGGAGTGCACTTGTGATGAGCACCAGGTGATTAAAATAAAAAGTTTAAAAAAGTGATACCACAAGGTTGCAATCAGCCAAACTGAGAATGTGGAAAATTTGACATGACCACTCAGTTTCTTTAAGAAATGAATAGCATGAAGAAAGGAGGAGAGAGGTTGAGGAGGGGAACTGTTGTGAAATTAAAAGGAATTGAAACCAAGTGACAACCAAATACAATGTGTGACCCTTATATGCACCCTGATGTGAACAAACCAACCGTGAGATGTTTTTGACAGACCTTGGGAAATCTAAACATGGACTGGGTAGCAGAGGACATGAAGGAATCATTAATTTTTAAGTTTGATAATGGCAGTGTGGTTGTATTAAAAGGAAAGCCTTTATTTGTGAGAGACACATATGGAAATATTTGTGGGTGAAGTAACACAGATGAACAGCAATTGCTTTAAAATATTCCAGGGGGAAAAAAGTGAAAGGGGTGGGGAAGGAGGCAGACAATGAATGAAACAAGACGGACAAAATGATAAAAACAGTGGAAGCTGAGGAACAGATAATATTATTCTCTCTTCTGTGTGTAATACAACATTATACAGATGTCTGAATGAGGTAGATCTATATGTACTAAATAGGAAACATGACATACTGCTAAGTGATACACTATATAGCATGGGTTTAAAATCCTTACCACTAACTTTGTGTGATACTGAAGTGAGTTACTTAATCAATCTAAAACCTGAGTTCCTCACATACAAATTAAGGATAATAAAACTTATTTTACATAACTGTTAAGGATTAAATGAGAACGATTCATATTCAAAAGCGATGCATACAAGATGACTACGTCAGCACTCAAGGAAATGATCAATACAGTTGACTCTTAACAACATAGGGTTGAGGTGCAGACTCCCACAATGGTCGAAAATCTGTGTGTAACTTCTGACTCTTCCAAAGCTTTACTAATAGTCTGCTGTAGACCAGAAAGAAGCCTGATGATGAAAACAACCCAATTTGTGTTATATGTACTATATACTGTATCTTACAATATACTAGTGTAAACAATGTCATTAAGAAAACTATTCCACACCTATATGGTCAATTAATCTACAATATAGGAGTCAAAAATATACAACAAAGAACAGTCTCTTCAGTAAGTGGTGTTGAGAAAACTGGACCGCAACAAGCAAAAGAATGAAACTGACCCACTTTCTTACACCATATACAGACATAAACAAAATGGATCAAAGACCTAATGTGAGACCTGAAGCCATAAAGCTCCAGAAAGAAAACATAGGCAATAATCTCTTGGACATCGGCCTTAACAACATGTTTGTGGATATGTCTTGTTAGGAAAGGGAAACAAAAGCAAAAACTATCGAGACCACATCAAAATAAAAAGCTTTTGCACAGCAAGGAAATCATCAATGAAACAAAACAGCAACCTAGTGAATGGGCAAAGATATATGCAAATGATGTATCTGATAAGGAGTTAATAGCCAAAATGCATAGAGAACTTCTAAATCTCAACACCAAAAAACCCTCAAATAATCCAACTAAACAATGGATGGAGGGACTAAATAGACATTTTTTCAAAGAAGACATAACAGATGGTCAAGAGACATGTATAAAGATGCTCAATATTACTAATCAGGTAAATGCAAATCAAAACCACAATGAGGTAACACCTCACACTTGTCAGAATGGCTAAAATGAAAGAAACAACAAAATAACAAGTGTTGGTTGACATGGGTATGGAGAAAAGGAACTCTTGTGCACTGTGGGTGGGAATGTAAATTGGTGCAGCCACTGTAGGAAACAGTATGTAGATTCCTTAAAAAATTAAAAATAGAAATACTGTATGATCCAGTATTTCCACTACTAGGTATTCACCCAAAAAATACAAAAACACTAATTGGAAAAGATATATGTATCTGTATGTTTACTGTAGCATTATTTACAACACTCAAGACATGGAAGCAACCTAAGTGTCCATCCATAGATGAATGGATAAAGAAGATGTGATATATACATATAATGGAATATAACTCAACAATAAGCAAGAATGAGATCTTTCCATTCGTGACAAAAGGATGGACCAAGAGGACATTATACCAAGTGAAATAAGTCAGAGAAAGACAAATACCATATGATGTCACTTATATTTGGAATCTAAAAAAACGAAACACCAAACAACAAAAAAACAGACTCTTAAATACAGAAAACAAAGTAGTGGTTTGCAGAGGAGAAGTGGGTAAGGGGAGATAGGCAAAATAAAGGGCATTACGAGACACAGACTTTCAGTTATAAAATAAATCACAGAGATGAAAAGTACAGCATAGGGAATATAGTCAATAATATGATAATAACAAAATCACAGAGATGAAAAGTACAGCATAGGGAATATAGTCAATAATATGATAATAACATTATACAATGACAAATGATGACTACACTTATGGTGAGCACTGAGTGATGGACAGAACTGTGGAATAAATATGCTGTACACCTGAAACTAATATAACATTGTATGTCAAGTGCACTCATTAATAAAAAAGAAAATTGTAAGGAAGAGAAAATACATTTACAGTACTATACTGTAATTATTAAAAAGAATCCATATAAGTGGACCCACACAGTTCAAAACTGTGTTAAGGGTCAAATGTAATATTATTGTAAGGGGCCCCATGTGGCTCAGTCGGTTAACTGTCCGACTCTTGGTTTCAGCTCAGGTCATGATCTCACGGTTTGTGAGTTTGAGCCCTGCTTTAGGCTCCAAGCTGACAGTGCAGAGCCTGCTTGGGATTCTCTCTCCCTCTGCCCCTCCCCTGCTTACTCTGCCTCTCTCTCAAAGACAAAAATAAACTAAAAAAAAAAAAAAAAAGAAAAAGAAAAATTAAGTTGCAAGAAATATCTACAGTATGATCCCATTTTGTAAAAACCTTTTAAAAGACTATGTAAAACGTGTGTATGTATGTGTGTTTGTATGAACACAGAACAAGTCTAGAAGAATCATACAACAAACTGTTAACAATTAAGGTTGGGGTTGGGGGGAGCAGAAGGCATAATGGCTATGAATAGTGACACTTTTACTTTTTATGTCTTACACTTAGGTATTACTCAAATATATGTATTACAAAAATATGTATTACTTTGGTCATTTTAATAAAACATCCTATAAATGATTTTTTAAAAAACACTTGCTTTTGTTTATTTAATCCTGTAACAGATTAAAAGGTTCAGATTTGGGGCACCTGGGTGGCTCAGTCGGTTAAGCACCTGACTTCAGCTCAGGTCATGATCTCACTGCCATATTAGTTCAAGTCCTGTGTTGGGCTCTATGCTGACAGCTCAGAGCCTGAAGCCTGCTTTGGATTCTGTGTCTCCCTCCCGCTTTCTGCCCTTCTCCTGGCTCACACCCTGTCTCTCAAAAATGAACATTATAAAATAATAATTAAAAAATAGAAAAATTTAAAAAAATACAAGGTTCAGATTCAGATGGTTTGTCCTGAATCTGATTTTATAACATAGTTTCTTTGTCAGCATTGTTATAGTTTTCTTGAAAATCAGTAACACTGAAAATAAAATGTCAACAAAAACCAAAGTTTGATTGGTTTTTATAGTGTTTACCATTTAGTATTATTTATTTTTAATTATTATTATTTTTTTAGTGTTTGTTTATTTGGAGAGAGAGAGAGAGATAGCAAGAGCAGGGAGGGGCAAAGAGAGAGGGAGGCACAGAATCGGAAGCAGGCTCCAGGCTCTGAGTTGTCAGCACAGAGCCCCATGTGGGGCTCAAAATCATGAACCACGAGATCATGACCTGAGGCAAAGTCTGATGTTTAACTGACTGAGCCACCCAGGCAACCCCCCAGTATTATTTAGTGAGGTAAGAGTGGTTCCTATTATATTTGCTGCCACAATAAGAATATTTAACTCTATTTTCAATGGTTTTCCATGTCAATACCATCTAACTGGAATCTTAGGTTTCAAGTACTTATATAGAACATTTGGTATATATATACTGAATTTGATACATGGAGAAAACAAAATACAGTACATTTAACAAAGGATTCAAATTCACAATGCAGTACAAATACTCACTTGAAAAGTGTTCTTGGTCAACACCATTACTACTTCCCACTATATTACAAAATTGTGCATTCGTTATCAAATTGTGCATCCCAAGGATAGCTATAAATATAGAAAAAAGGGTTATTTTTATTTCCATTGGTTTTAAACATAAAGAACTGATTTTACAACCAAAAATTTCTGGTTTTAACATCTTCTGAACATTTTCCTACTCAATTAAAATACAGATTTTGCAGCCCAAAAAAAGGAAACGTGATTAAAAAATCACCTACAGTATCTTTCTCATTAATACCCTTAATATTTTCCCTTTCATTTTGGAATTCAGATCTCCCCACAGTTCTGAATTCAGACATACAACTGGAAACAGTCTAACCCTAAATGTAAATCTATGCTTAGCTCCATCTGGTGGCTAAGAGAGAATACTGAAATGATGTATGTTTGCTGTTCATCCTTCACACAAGGTTCTAGGAACAGTTCAAAGGTGGGATTTTCACCTTAACCATTATTTTTATATTTGTTAACTTTCATGTTAATTTACATTCATATTTTAGCTAAGGGTAAAAATACCAAAAGTATAGTTGAACTCTTATCTTTAAGATTAACGTAGCATCCCTCAAAAATGACAGTAGTGATAAATTTCGTTTTTGGTTCTGATGCCCTTTTTGCACCAATGTGGCAGAAGCTACAGCATGCCCCCAGCCCACTCCACCCTGCTGAAAGCACCATTTACAAACATCTCAGTCTTCAGCATTCCAAGAAATAAGACACCTGCTCTGGCTGCAGCCCCATGCTTTAATTGTCCTTGTCCTGGGTCCTCCCGTAAGAACCATCATTCTCCTTTCAAACATGTTAGCTCTTGGGGTTACTTGGTACTAAGATATCCCCATAGGTCATATTTTTCTACGTAGGAAAATGGGTGTGTGCTGAGGCTGCTGGGGGAGATATTTGTCCAGATAAGAAACTGGCAATGATGAAAATAACAGAGAGGTTTGGAGTGTTCCATATATTTCAAAAGAGATGGAAAAGTGGTGAGTATAACTGCTTTCCAGTTATTCATCTTGGGGTCCTCTTTTTCTGCAAAGTTTACTTATTTATTTATTTATTTATTTATTTTTAGTAATCTCTACACTCAATGTGAGGCTCAAACTCACAATCCCAAGATCAAGAGTCGCATACTCTACCGACTCAGCCAGCCAGGTGCCCCTCATCTCAGGGTCTTCTGATAAAACGAGACAGTAGTTGACCCTGAAGACTCTTTTTCAATGCTTAGATAGGACAGCTTCTTGCTGAGCACCAGCTGATCAAAGATTTTTATAAAGACTTTCAAATATGGTAACGTGGGAAACGATGTCAAATACTATGTATTATAATTACACTATGTATAATACATACATTCATTAACATAAAAACTCACCAGTGACAGCATTTTAAAAACTGAAATCCTTTATGTCACATTTATAGGGTACAAAACAAAGCTAAGTATGTGGTCACTGAGTCAACAGCACTTTGCTAGGCAAAGGAAGCATCTATATGATGTATACAGGGGTGTGCTGGTATTCCCCTTCCCTCCACGTATTCACAAATGTGTTTTAGGAGATACCTGCAAGGTCACACAATTCTGTATCAGAAGCACTTGTCAAAGCTTCTTCTAATTCTGGGTCAAGAGATACTTTTTCTTCTGTGAAAGTCTGTACAGGCTTCTGTTTAGGGATAAATATTTTCCCTGTAAAATAAAGCAGTTTGTTAATTCCAATACTACTGCTACAAACTCATTACTATTTACTCTTCTAACAAAAATTATGAAAAGTATGTACAATTGAAGCTAAAGAAAAAAATCAAGATAAACATCTATAATAACATTTCATCTTCAATATGTATTATAAGTTTCCAGGGCAATATTTGGCTGTAAAAGTTGAAATGAAGGGAAAAAAATCATCTGAGAAATACTCCTTTTTGTGAAAATAAAAATAGGCTCTTTTGGAATAATTTGGAGTTACTAAACAAATAGTTAAAAGATGAATGTAGGAATAAATTTTAAGAACCTATAAAACTCCAGAGAGATTAAAAAAAAAAAAAAAACCCTGCAAAATCCACTTTATTTTTTATATTTTTAAGTTCTTATTTATTTGAGAGAGACAGAATGAGAAGAGTATGGGTAGAGAGGGGGACAGAGGATTCAAAGTGGGATCTGTGCTGATAGCAGAGGGGCCGACACAGGGCTTGAACTCACAAACCATGAGATCATGACATAAGCCAAAACCAAGAGTCAGATACCTGACTGAGCCATCCAGGCACCCCTTTCATATTGTTAAGCAACAAGCTGTTATAGTCACTTGGGGGATGGCAGATGTAATTATGATTCCAGAAATTCAAGATCTAATTGCAAAGAAATTCCTGTTGGTCCTAAGTGGTGTCCTGAAACTTTAGGTCACTGTTCGTCTAAGCCTCAATAGATAATAAGAAGGTTTACCTGATAAGAAACTAGTTATTGTAGAGAACTAAAATCTTTACTATGTGAAAACCACTATTTTATTACCATATGTCCAATGCAAGATTGAAAACATGAAGAGAATTGGAATTGATGATACAACTCATGACCAAACAAGATGGACTCACATGGCGGAGCCTGGGTTACCACGACTGCCTCCAGTTTCTCTCCAAGGACAAGTGAAAAGTCTTACTAAGTGATCTAGAAAGGCTGATGCATAGATTCACAGATGTGCCAAAGAAACTACCAGAGATATATGAAACAATATGTGGCCTGATGGATCTATGCAGTACTCTATCAAAAGAATGTCTGTGGGCTTACAATCAGTGAGTGTTGTATACTTCTTCAAGGTACATCAATTAATGTACCCATAGGAATCTGGCCAAAACTGTTCAGCTATTTTCCGTTAAGCCCATCTAAAGGATCTTAATCTCTGATATTATATGTTTTTAACGTCTAGCATTTCCATTTGGTCCTTTTAAAAAAAAAAAGTTTCCATGTCTCTGCTGCAATTCCTCATTTGTTCATACATGCTGTCTACTTTGTCCACCAGATTCTTAGGCATTTGTCATAGTTTTTTTCACTTTTTTATTAATTTTTTTATATTTACATCCAAGTTAGCATATAGTGCAACAACTATTTCAAGAGCAGATTCCTTAATGCCCCTTACCCATTTACCCCATCCCCCTTCCCACAACCCCTCCAGTAACCCTGTTTGTTCTCCATACTTAAAGAGTCTCTTATGTTTTGTCCCCCTCCTTGTTTTTATATGACTTTTGCTTCCCTTCTCTTATGTTCATCTGTTTTGTATCTTAAAGTCCTCACATGAGTGAAGTCATATGATATTTGTCTTTCTCTGACTAATTTCGCTTAGCATGATACCCTCTAGTTCCATTCACATAGCTGCAAATGTTAAGATTTCATTCTTTTTGATCGCTGAGAAATACTCTATTGTATATATATACCACATCTTCTTTATCCATTCATCCATCGATGGACATTTGGGCGAGTTCCAAACTTTGGCTATTGTTGATAGTGCTGCTATAAACATTGGGGTGCATGTGTCCCTTTGAAACAGCACACCTATATCCCTTGGATAAAATACCTAGTAGTGCAACTGCTGGGTCATAAGGTAGTTCTATTTTTAATTTTTTGAGGAATCTCATTACTGTTTTCCAGAGTGGCTGCACCAGTTTGCATTCCCACAAGCAGTGCAAAAGAGAGCCTCTTTCTCCACATCCTTGCCAGCATCTGTTGTTGCCTGACTTGTTGATTTTATACATTCTGAGGTGTGTGAGGTGGTATCACATTGTGGTTTTGATTTTTATTTTCCTGATGATGAGTGTTGTTGAGCATCATTTCATGTGTCTATTGGCCATTTGGGGGTCTTCTTTGGAGAAGTGTCTGTTCATGTCTTTAGCCCATTTCTTCACTGGATTATTTGTTTTTACGGTGTTGAGTTTGATAAGTTCTTCATAGATTTTAGATACTGTCATAGTTATTTTTTTTTTTTAATGTTTTATTTATTTCTAGGAGAGAGAAACAGCGTGAGCAGGGGAGGGTCAGAGAGAGAGGGAGTCACAGACTGAAACAGGCTCCAGGCTCTGAGCTGGCAGTCAGCACAGAGCCCGACGCGGGGCTCGAACCCAAGAACCGCGAGATCATGACCTAAGCGAAAGTCGGAAAGTTGGACGCTTAACCGACTAAGCCACCCAGGCGCCCCTGTCATAGTTATTTTTAAAGTCTCTAGCTGATAACGCCAATATCTGGGTCATGTCTGAGTCTTCTATTGACTGCTATTTTCTTGAGTATGGGGCATATGTGTCTTAAGATCTTTGACTCCAAGCTAAGAATCTTTGTATAAAAGTATGGCAGAAACTGAAAGAAATGATATTTTTTTCTCAGAAAGAAGCATGCCCCTTAGGTTAGTGCTAAATCAATATGCTCTACCATTGAGCTAAATTTGGCCTTTGCTGCAACTTTAGTTTGATTCAGTTCCTCACTGGCTTCAAACATTTTGAATACAGGATCAGGACTTTCTCTTCAGCAAGGCCTTGTATTACAACCATGGTGAGGTTCTAGAGATCTCTTGAGCTCTTTCCTTTATTGAGCGGTGAACTTTGAGAGATTTCTCCAGACATGTGGCCTAGGCCAACAGATGACTGGGGAGCTCTCTTCGTTTTCCAGTTGCATCCCTTGATTTTTGGGCTTTGGCAGATCTCTCAGGCCCTCTCATCTTGTCTGCTTTATACTCTGTGAAGCTGGGGTTGGCCTTGAAGGGATCTGTCCCACCCCTCTTGCCTCTCCCTCAGTCTCTACCAGCTGAAAACCTATGCCTCAGGAATTTTCCCTCTGCTCTGCTTCATTGCCTCTGTTCTTGTAGCATCTCTGGCACTAAATGAAGACATGCAGGAAAGAACTGGGGTAGCACAGTCTCATCGTCTCTAGGGCTGCACTGTCCAACATGGTAGCCACTAGCCACATGTGGCTATTTAAATTTAAATTTAAATTAGAAACTCAGCTCCTCAGTCATACTAGGCACATTTCAAGTACTTGATAGCTATATTTAGCTAGATGGAGCTAACACACTGGTTAACAAAGACACTGAACATTTCCATCACGGCAGAAAGTTCTAGTGGATACCACTGCTCTAGGGCTTCTCTGGATTCTATCTATCATCCAATACATACACAGTCATTAAAAGTTTGTTAAAAGTTAGGCTGATTTCTCTTTATGCCTTTCTATGGTGGTTTTCTGCTTTTCCCTCATTTTATTTTATTTTATTTTTAATTTTTTTTTAATGTTTTTATTTATTTCTAGGAGAGAGAGAGAGAGAGACAGCGTGAGCAGGGGAGGGTCAGAGAGAGAGGGAGACACAGACTCTGAAACAGGCTCCAGGCTCTGAGCTGTCAGCACAGAGCCCGACGCGGGGCTCGAACCCACGAACCGTGAGATCATGACCTAAGCGAAAGTCGGAAAGTCGGACGCTTAACCGACTAAGCCACCCAGGCGCCCCTGCTTTTCCCTCATTTTAGTCAGAAAAGAGAGAAGTGGGTCATCAGTCTCAAGGAGGGCTTGTCACTTTCTAGAATCATTTATGTCTGTGTCCTCAAGCTCTCTGATAGCTTTTTAAAAACTGTAATAATGCACTTAGGGGCACCTGGGTGGCTCAGCCAGTTAAGTATTCGCCTCTTGATTTCAGCTAAGGTCAGGATCTCACAGTTCATGAGATTAAGCTGAGCCCTGAGCTGGGCTCTGTGCTGACAGCATGGAGCCTGCCTGGGAATCTCTCTCTCACCCTCTCTCTGCTCTTCCCCCGCTCACATACATGTGCTCTCTATCTCTCAAAATAAATACATAAACATTTTTAACAACTATAATAATGCACTTATACTGCTTGTTTAGGTTGGTATGTAAGAATAATACTCTCTTGCAACTTTGTACATCTTAGTCAGAAGTCTTTCTGGCCAAGTATTTTCTTATTTAAAAAGATGGCATGTGGTCAATCCATAGTATATTTGTATTAGTAAGGATTTTGTTTGTTTGCTTTTTAAAGTTTATTTATTTTGAGAGAGAGAGAGAACAGGGGAGGGGCAGAGAGGGAGTAAAGACAGAATCCCAGGCAGGCTTCACACTGTCAGTCAGAGCCCAACTCGGGGCTTGATCTCATGAACAATCATGAGATCTTGACTTGAGCCAAGATCAAGAGTTGGATGCTTAAATGACTGAGCCACCTAGTTTTTAACTGCATATAATAGAATACCCAATGAAAAGGGGTTTAAATGGGTGCTTTCCAAGCTTTAATGTGCACCTCACTCACATGGTGATCCTATTAAAGTACACATTCGGATCGGCACGACTGATATGGGATGAGATTTAACTAATCTGTCAGGTGATGCCAATTCTGAACTACAGACCACTTTTAAATCAGCAAGAGTTCAAACAGTAAGTATTTTTATTATCTCAGTAAGTCCAAATATAGGTGGCTATAGAGTTGGTTCAGCAGCTCACTCCTGACATCAAGTATTTAGGCTCTTTCCATTTTTCTCTTTGGCTTTAATCAGCATATAAGCCTTTGTTCTCAAGACATTCGTCTCAAGATGACCTTTGTAACTCCAAGTATCAAGCCCTCCTGCAATAAGGTCAGGACAGGAAGGAAGGGCACAACTGTCCATTTTTATAAAGAAAACTTTTTATAGTAACTTTTATAAGGAAAACTGTCCAGATTTCTCTTC